CCATCCCTGGATGGCCGGGAGGCTGCAGCCCGTCCTCAGCCGCCCCGGACGATGACACCACCAGCCTGGCCCCGTGGAGCCGGTAAATCCTGCCCTGAGCCCCTTGCCCAGCTGATGATGTGGGGCCGGGGGGGCTCACGGTGGGAGGGGGTCCCCATCCCTGCTGGGACGTGGTGCATCCCGGCGCTGGCTGAGCTTTGCTGCATGATGTTGGTGCCCGTGGCTCGGCGAGGGACCGGCTGGGCACCGTTGGGTGCCCTGGGGGGAGGGTGCCCCCGTGCCAGGTGCTTTCCCCCCACGCTTCCCCCAGAGCCCCTGGAGAACGACTTGGAGCCAGGCAAGAGCGGCACGGCGGCGAAGCCCTGGAAAGCAGCCCCCAGCCTGGCAGACCTCGACCTGGACACGGCAGGTACGGCTGTCCCCGAGCCCCCCGCCGGACACCATCCCACTGGGGACCCGCAGCTGGGACACCCCAAAGGGGCTGCACAGGGCAATGCCCACCACGCCAGCCCGGGAGGTGCCATCTCCCCCCCACGGTGGCGTCCCCATGGGACCCTTGCAGCAGGATGTGGTGTCCACCCTGTGCACCCCGAGGCTCCCACGCCGCATCCCCCAGCGCCCGCCATCCCCACATGCTTCATCCGCTCGTCCTTTGTCCATGCAGCCCTCGATGTCCCCGAGCTGTCCCCAGCCCCAGTGGCACGCCGGGGTGCTTAGGGACGGGGGTCTGCTCCCCATCCGTGTGCTCAGGGCTCGCTCCATCCCAGGCGGAGGAGCCGAGTGGACGTCCTGGTTCAACATCGACCACCCCGGAGGGGACGGGGACTACGAGAGCCTGGAGGCCATTCGCTTCTACTACCGGGGGCGCGTCTGTGAGCGGCCGGTGGCCATCCAGGCCCGCACGACCGAGTGGGAGCTGCCCGAGGAGGTGGGCGAGGTGGTGCACGTCAGTCCCAAGAAGGGTTTTCGCTGCATCAACAAGGAGCAGCCGCGGGGCAAGACCTGCTCCAACTACCACATCCGCTTCCTCTGCCCGCTGGGTGACGCGGGGTGACATCCCCGCCGCATCCCACCCCTCCCCGGACCCCGCTGGCACTTTGGTGGGGGTCCGTACCCATTGCTGCGCTCACCCCTTGCTCGTCACCCCCTCCTGCTGCTGCATCCCACAGAGTGCATCCCCGCCGCATCCCACCCCTCCCCGGACCCCGCTGGCACTTTGGTGGGGGTCCGTACCCATTGCTGCGCTCACCCCTTGCTCGTCACCCCCTCCTGCTGCTGCATCCCACAGAGTGCTGCCAGAGCTGCGGCTGCACCAGAGCCCCCCCC